TAAGGCCCCAGGAATTTATGGGATACCAACTGACATATGTCAACAAATGGATGCTGCCCTGGATATGCCTACCAGGTTGTGCAAAAAAATCTCGACAACAACTACCTGAGAAATGGACAGGGGGGAAATTTTTTAAAATTTATATCTGTATTTATTCCCTTTCCAAAAAAAGGTGATCCAACAGAGTGTGGAAAATTATAGAATATCACCAGTATCACACAAAAGAAAAATCTTGCTGAAGAGTATCCAAAAACTATTGAACAGCACATTGACAAAGAACTACCAGAAATACAAGCTGGCTTTGGAACAGGCTGTGGCACTAGAGACATTATTGCTAATGTTGGATGGACGTTAGCTGGCAGCAGAGAGTACCAGAGCAATATCTATTTGTGTTTCATTGACTATGCAAAGGCATTTGACTGTACAGATCACAACAAATTGTGGCTAACCTTGAAAAGACTAGAAATCCCAGAACACTTGATTGTGCTCATGTGAAATCTATACTTGGAGGAGGACGCAGTAGTTAGAACAGAACAAGGAAACACTTCATGGTTAAAAATCAGGAAGGGAGTGTGTCAGGGATGCACCATGTCTCCATACCTTTTCAATCTAGATGCAGAACACACTTTGGGAGGCTGGAATTTATAAAGAGGAGTATGTCATTAGGATTGTAGGAAGACACATCAACAACCTGTATTACGCAGATGAAACAACCATGCTTGCTGAAACTGAGGAGGGCCTTAAATGTTTGCTGCAGAAGGTCTGTAGTCTTCCATATGGGTTGAGCCTCAACATCAAGAAGACAAAGATTCACCATGATGGAGGTGAGAAGCCACTTCCAGAAGGAAACAACAGGCTTCTTCCTTGGTCATTCAGGTACTTTGGGGAAAAAACTGCTGTCAGACCCAAGACCTGAACAAATATATAGTTGCTTATTGAAACACTACTGTGGACCAACACGGACATTTGAGAGCTGCAGAAACAGTGAGCATCGGCAGGGTGCAGTGAGCGTCAGCAGGGAGCAGCATGCCACGGTGGGGAGCAGCAAACCACAGCAGGACTCACCTGCCAGGAGCAAGCAGGACAGCAGGAATTTTAATGTGGTCCCCCCAAACCCTTCCCCACGTATGTCTGTGTGCACATCTTCCCTGCTCCGCCCACACATGCATCTGCATGTGCACTCATCCTAGGTGGATCCACTTATGTGCCTGCCCAAAAATCTTCTGGAGGAGTGGCTTCAGATCAAGAACAGGCTACTGCCTCAGGCACAAAAAATTCTACCATAGCAATATCCAGAAGGAAGAAAGCCACCTCACTCCCCACATAAGCCCAAAGCAAGATATCAGTCCCCAAAAGTGACACAGTAGCAATCTATTTCCTGAAGCCAGAAAGTCTGATCAAATGTTCGACACAGAAGTTAAAAGAACAATGACTAAACATTTCCAATGGGTGAAAGACAAATTTGAAGAATTACACACTGCAAGCAAAAATCAGGAGGAACTTAAAAAAGCAATAAAAAACAACGCATATTTTTTTAAAAAAAGAGGCATTTGAGGCACTGGAATAACAAAAACCCATGATCCAAAATATGAGGTCCAAGGTTTCAGATGCTATCAACATGATAGAGGGACACATGAACAGAGCTGAAGAGAAGGAACACAGAAGCAGTGAAATAGAAGATAGAATTGTCACCTGCTAGTGTGGAGAAATAGTCCCTCTCAGGGGAGGTGACAATCTAACACTTGAAACGTAAAATGTGACGGTCATGCCAAGAAGCTGATGATGAATGGGACGAGATAGGGAAGAACTGCATAAACTGATGTTTTTGTTGTTGTTATGTGCCGTCGAGTTGCTTGCAACTCGTAGCGATCCTGTGTATAAGAGCCGTAACTCTTGCCTTAATGTCAACCTCAATGTCTCTGACACACCTACTCCCATTAACCCAATCATTGAAATAATCCATCTCATCAGGGTCTTCCTCTCTTGCAATGTCCCTCCACCCTCCCAAACATGATTTCCCACTCCAAGGACTGGTCCTTCCTTCCAACATGCCCAAAGTATGTCAGACAAAGCTTCAGAATCCTTTCCTACAAGGAACAGCCAGGTTTCATTCTCTCCAGGTCAAACCTGTTTGTTCTCCTAGCAGTCCATGGTATATTCAACACTCTTCTCCAGCACCACAAAAGGCATCAATTCTCTTTCTATCACCCTTAGTCACTGTCCAGCGCTCTGACGCATAGCACACACTTGTGAAGACTACGGCCCGGATCAGGTGCACTTTAGTCTCCAGCTTGATGTCGCTCCTCAGTACTCTGGAGAGGTCCCTGACACCTGACTTTCCCAATGCAATTCACCTCTTGATTTCTCAGGTGATGGTAAAAAGAGTGTTGACTGTAGAACCAAGCAAAATAAAACTATCAACAATCTCAATCTCTTCACCATCCACAATGATGCTGCCAACTGACCCAGTGGTGAGCATCTTTGTTTTCT